AGTAGGATCACAAGTTTGAACCCAACTTGGGCAATGTAGCAATGTAGCCAGACTCTGTCTCAAAATTTGAAAATTGAAAAGGGAAGAGGGTATAGCTCAGTTCAAAGGTCCTTGGGTCAACCCCCAGTACTGCCAAAAACTGTAGATACGACATGATGGTAACTGCAAATAAGTATACACTGAAGATTTAATTAAACAACATCAACATGCAGTAGTGTTCAGTGGTACCTTTAATAATGGAGTTTTCCTACACTTCTAATTTTAAGAAAGCTTGCATCCATAATCAGAAAAAAAATCTTATTTATAAGAGTTTCTGTTCATTGATATTATAGACAAGGGTATGGTAAACCTTGACAGATATTTGCTTTATAAATAAGAAAGAAAAGGAAGACTTAGAGACGTATTCCAACAGAAATGTTGACATGAGAGAGTTAAGGAGCAAGAAGTCGTGAAGTAGTTGCGATCAGCTTTTGGAAATATCTGAAATGATCTCCAGACACTCTCAGATTTGATTCTCACAAGAGAGGGCTGGATCTAGGTAGGAGCCCCCACCCCCACCCCACAGACACCCCAAATGAACAACATGATTGCTGGCTCCTAAAATGCAAGGAGCGCATACAGAGCTGAATACAGTTCAAGAGGACAGAGGAATGGCTAGGAAACAGATAATCAAATTCTCTCAGGAGAGAGAACTATGACATTTGCTACTAGCCCTACATAGAGCGACTTCCAGCCCTGAGCTTTGTCAGAGTCACGTGAGAATAGGCAAAACCTTGGCAGCCTTGCTAGTTGGGTAAATATAGAGCAAGAGTCTAAAGAGCTGTGATTCTGTGAATGTGTTTTTCAAGAGTCTCTTCTGCAGCACGGCGCCAAGCCCACACTGTCTGCCTAGTGTGGCTTCAGAGCTGCAGGGTTCCTGACTGTGCGTCCAGCCCCACGTCTAGAACTCCCGAGTCTGATGGGTCTCAGGAGTTGCAGTTCCCAGGTGAAATCAGCCCCTCCCTGCAGCCATGCACACCGGTCACAGTCCCAACAGGGCAGGGGCTAACTCCATGCCTGGGCCCATACCACACCGCACTTCTGCCAGGAGGCAAAGGTGCTTCCATTCTAGGTGGAAGCTGGATCAGCAGGGAGGATATCATCGATTAACAATGTTTCATAAGATGCACCAAAACTCTGTCTGACATCATTCACCAACACATCACCTTAACACAATGTTGTAACAAATACAAGATATATTTAAATTTTTAAAAAATGTATTATAATAATAGACACATTGCCATGAATGCCCCTCAAGATCCACCCCATCCCTTTGAGCGTGTTTATCCCATCATCTTTACCACTTCCTGCAGCAGCTCTGGAGTCCTCTTTCCTGAGGGTCTTTAGTTGCACTGTCCTGGCTGCCTCCATGTCCTGAACACATTCAAAATGTTTCCCTTTCAGGGTCATTTCGACTTTGAGAAGAGCCAGAAGTTGTACAGTACCAGTTCCAGTTACTAAGGTGGATGAGGGCACAGCATCATGTTTTAGAGCCTGCCTTTCCATGGGAAGGCCCTCAGCAGCAGCAGTCAGTGCATTTTTTATCATACCTGGTAAAGACCCTTTGAAAAGATGACTCCAGAGCTACTGCAGAAAGTGGCAAAGATGTTGGGATGAGAGTGTTCGAAGCCAGGATTTTGAGGGGGATTCATGGCAATACATCTCTTACTATAATACATTCTTAGAAACTGTACTTACAAAAGAAAAAGAAACTAATTACACACTCACCATGCCATATGATCACACCACATACTTGGCTGTCTGCACAACTTCTTGCACTAAACTGGAGGCCATGGCCTGGGCTTGACCCTGACCATCATGTACACCAAGGGCAGAGTAACTCCTTCAGTCATGCAGACTCTAGGGCTCATAGTAAATGAGCTAAAACCATTGCCCTTTCTAATCTGCTGGTGTGAGTCCCAATTGCAGAGGAGAAACGTGTATTTTCCTAAGCATTTTGGTTGTCATGATGGAGGAAGCACAGATTTAACTGAGAAATCACTGCTTCTCTGGGGTATCCGCCTATGAATCAGTGAGCAGCACGTCCTGGGCTCCTGTCCATTTCAGATAAGATTCAAGCGAAGCTCTCACAACAGTGCTTAGTAAAACTGAGGCTGCTGCTTCCACACCGAGCCCAGCTACTTCAATATTTTTATCAGAGCTGCATGCAGAAAAACAAGAGGATTTCATGACTGAAATCTTCACGTGACACCAGGCAGAGTGAGCTAGTCAGAACATTAGACAATTGAATCAGGATTTTAAGAAGTTCTGGCCTACTGGGCACAACAGGTCAAAGCTAACCTGAGGAAGGCAAGATAATAAATATTCAGTCTGGGATTTGTCATCAACTAGTAACGTTTTCAAGAAAGAAAGCACCTGGCTTAGTGTATAAACAAAACCCAGAATTTTGCAATGCGTTCACCTGGACCAGGGCTGGGTCCAGTGCTTGTGGCAGAAGGCAGAAATCTGGCTAATCACCCTCTCCACACATTTGCAGTGCCAGACTTTGGAAGAAAATTTTCAAGTTGCAATACATCCAGCAGAGAAAAGTGTGCCACTGAGGACTTGGAGACCATTCCCTGTTTAGGGAAGGAACCAGGAAGGTTTAGGGCAGAGAATAGAAGAACTGGGAGAGATACTAGAGCCATCATCCGATCTGTGGAAAGTGCTCATAAAAGAGTAATTCAGGGCACTGATGCTTGTTCAAGACCAAGGTCTATGGGAATAATAAGAGAGCTGTACCGCAACTGAGGGCAGTATTGCCCAACCTCACCAGCTCCTCCATCCTGCCCCACAGTCTCCCTGAACACGCCCTGTCCCCGGCTCTCAGATAATCCTGCGGCTGCTCCTCTTGTCCTTCCTCACCTCAGGCTTCTGCCAGAGCAGCTAGCCTTATCTGTCTGCCCCAATACACCCACTCTTCCTTTGCCCAACATTGCCCGCTCCTCTGGGAAATCCTGGCCCCGACATCTGCAAGGTGCTAGCTCTGCCACAAAAGAGTCCTGCTCTGTGCTCCTGTGGTCCCCGGAACTTCTGCGCCACAGGACCCCAGGTAGGGCTAATAGCTATGCACATCTCTGGTCCATTCTCGGAGTGCCGATCGAGCCTTACTGATTTCCTCACAGCTGGCACCAAACGTCCTTGGGAAACACAGACAGAGAGAAAGAGAGGAGAGAAAGAGGATTAGTCTTAGGATCTGTAGCTAATTCCATTACACTTCCCTGGTGTGAACCGAGTCAGAGTATGAAGCAAAGTGGAAGCTTCACTTTTTCAAAAGGTGTTTAAGGCATAACTGATGACATGGTTTTAAAAGAGAGTCATCCCCCAAATGAAGTCCAGTGCACTGCCATGAAAGTTCTATTAAACACACATGGGACACTGGCCATGAGCCCCCAGTAAGGTGCCCAAGGACGAAGACACGATGTGTTGTTTCTTCACATTCAGCAGTGGCCCTCGCAGCAGAAGAAACATAATCTTGACCATTTGCCTGACTTTAATTCTCTAATTTAACCACTATATTTCTACTATAAACTAGGACCTTTATAGTTAAGGCTGATCTCCCATGAACCAATAGTATTTCACTATATACAGACAATATTATGAAAACTGAAATTATCATAATCGAGTATGTATAATGAAGGCATTAAACTTGAAGCTGAATTGTATCATGTTTCCTTGAGTGTATACAATAACAAATTATACTGCCTCGTAAAAGTACTTACGGATTACTTATTTTTAAAATGCAGGCAAGGAGTTGCAGAACTAAAATTCGGATGTGCCATTAATTAAACTGTATGTGATTCCCAGAATCTCTACATTTCAAATATTTTCCAGTTCCCCTTTCCAGAAAGGTCACCAGGCAACAGATGACAGAAGGAGATGTTCCCAAAGAAAAGGTACAGGGGGCGGCAGCACAGGAAATGAAGCTGTCCTTATTCATTAGTGAGATGCAGGTCAGTTAGATGCCACTTTACACTGCAAGGGGTGCTGTCATCAAAAAGACCAGTTATAAGGAGTACTAGTGAGGATATGGGGCATCAGAACACCCACACTGCTGGTAGGGTTGTAACATGGTGCTGTCACCTTAGAAAAGAGCCCCACAGCTCCTTAAATTTTTAAACATAGAGTTACTCTTTGATCGACCAATTCCACTCTAATGTATTGACCTGAGAAATAAAAAATACATCCACAAAAAACTTGTGCATAAATGTTCATAACAGCATCATTTACAATAGCTACAAGGTGGCAATGACCCAATTGATCATCAGTTGATGAATGGATAAACAGAATGAGAAAAAACACCAAAATGGAATATTATTTGGCCACAAAAAAGGAATGAAATACTTTTATATGTTACAAAATAAGTGAAACTTGATGGCATTGTGCTAAATAAAAAAGCTAAATATTGTCAGACATGGTGGCACACGACTGTAATCCCAACATTTGGGAGCCTGAGGCAAGAGGATCCGAGTTTGAAGCCATTCTGGGCTACATAGTAAATGCAAGCCCACCCTGAATGACATAGCAAGATCTTGTCTCCAAAAACAAACAAAAAATCTATACATATTATGTGATTTCACATATGTGAAATGTGCAGAAACGGTAAAGCTTTAGAAATAGAAGCTATATGCCTCACTGTCCAGGGCCACGGGAGAAGATACAGTCTCTTGGGGAGTGATAGCTAAAGAAAACTGGTTTCTTTTTGGGGTGAAGAAATTGTTCTAACATTGATTTTGATAACAGTTTCATAACTATGTGAATATGCAAAAAACAATTGAACTGCACTCTTTAATTGGAAAAAAATCCAATGGTGTGTGAATTATAAAACTTAAAAAACAGGATCATCAGAAAGCTATAGGCAAGAAAAAACTTGGAAAGCTATTTGCAAATATCACAACTTTCTGATCCTTAGGTAAGAAACTATAAGCTGTGTTATGAAAGAAAGACTCTAAACATCTTTTCTGAGAGTTTAATCTTAGTGTCTGGAAGCAATGAAGCACTGTTTCTGTTGAAGAACCTGTAGGACACCAGATAAATTTGTAAATGTCACTTAAAGATTAAAAACAACTCTGGAATTCAAACTTCTAGCTGACAGTGTAAAGTGCCTGGTAAATGATTAGTAATAATGTCTCTGGAGAACACACGAAGTGTGTCAGTGCACCAACTTGGAACAAGATTTCCAGGACAAGAAAAAGCATCAGCCACACATGTCCAGCTGTCAGATCTCCTTCATCAAGGAATATTTGCGAGACTCATAAAAGCATCCGAAGAGAGAGAGAGTCGGTCGTTCTATCCTCTGAGCAAGGAAAGAGAAGCTTGTGCATGGCCGGTGCATGTTCCAGAGGAAGAAAGGCAGTGGGTGAGAGGGACACTTTGGGCCAGGCAACCAGTCCCAGGAGCACCCAGAACTGCAGCCCCGCCCCGTGGCCTGCGTCTAGGCCTCTGCCAGATCTCCTGGGCCTCTCTGCAAAGAGCTCAAGCACTGCTGGTTTCCACAGCTTTCGAACTCAGCCCGAAGCTTCCTCGGCTACACTGAGGGTGAGCTGGGTGGGAGGGGTGACCACTTCCAAACTCGGACCTGCCCAGAAAACAATTCCAATCAAAGCTTTCTCTTAAACGAGATTCTTGTGCTGGTATCTCCGTCCAAGGGGTTCTTTCTTCATTTCTCTTCAGCAAAAATATTTATGCAGGCTGCAAGTTCCCCATCCTTCATGCACTTTCTAGGAGGGAGCAGGCAGCGCTCCCCGCACCAGCCCAGCACATCCTGGGTGTCTTCCATTCAGCGGGCATCTGACCGACAGTCAGGCGGTGAGGGGAGGGAGCAAGTGGCTCTGGGTCTTGGTCGACTTCTCTCTCTCCCTCTCAGCTGTACACTGCAGCCCAGCCTCCCCTCCCCTCGGTCATATGCGTTAATAAAAGCACGCACGAGTTCCCAGCCACAGTCTGTTCTGCAGACACTTTCTCTTTCGTAAACAAAGTGGGAAAGCGAGCCTCCTCTGCTCTTCCAGCTTCTGCAAAGATGTTCACGAAAGATTGACTTGTGGTTGAGCTGCTCAGCCCAGCTGCACAGTACTCAGGGACTGGGCTCCTTCTCTGACTTCTGACTCCAAGCGTTCTGCTTACCCGCGTGTTTCCTGTACCACCCAGGGACTAACGCGTGACTAGGATGCCAGGTTCCCACAGCAAATCACATAGAAGTCCCTGCTTCCTCTTACATGCTGGATCCCCATGCCTGCCGGTCAGTGGGGCCTTCACAGGGTCCCCTTGCAGTGCCTGGGACACCTGGACCTTTTCCTCAGACACGGGCCCCGGTCCTCTTGTGCAGTGCTGGCCCTGCATCCCTGAGTCACAGCACACACCGACCACTCCAGAGCCGCTCCCCGGCTGGCATCATATGCATGGCCAGTGTCTACCATCTCCCACCGAAGACTTTGCCCAGCTCAAGACCAAGGAGACCAGGTGACTCTGTGACCAGGAAAGTGTGGCTCAGCTGCACAGGCCCCCTTGGGCTGCAACAACCCTTCCTGGGTAGTAGCGAGCCCCGAGCCCTCTCGGGGTCAGGCCCCCCCACACCCTGGGAATTCTGCTGCAGCAGGAGGTGCTGAGTCAGCCACAGGCCCTGTGGACAGCCCAGCTTCAACTTCAGCATATAAATCCCGTCCTGCTCTGCAGCTCATACAATGGCAATGACATCCCCACCACCAAAGTCTGTAGGCTTCCCATGTGACATTTTTAAACAAAATGTTAAACTTATACCCATAAAATAATAGAAAATGATAGCCCAGCCAGCAACATTAAAAGCTGCTTTTTCTATGAATTCCGTCTATTGACTGCTAAGCGTCTTCTGTGTGTTGGATTTTCTGCTTAGCCGTGAAGACATAGAATTGAATGGAGACATTGTACCCACCCTGACCAGCTCAGAGCCATGGCCCAGGACAGACTACAGCCTATCAGGAACCAGCACCACAGAGCAGGTCGTGGTGCAGGTGAGTGAACACAGCTCCCTCTGGAGATAATCAAGGTTACTGGATGATAACACAGTTGTTCAAGAGAAACAGTAAGTGTGCAGAAGCTTCAAAACTTCAGTGCTTGCTAAAATTTCACTAATTTACTTTTTTTCAATGCAGCACCTTCTACGAATGTCTCCCCTTAGATTTTTTAAATTGCTGGACTGTGTTCTGCTATAAATATGTGCAAGTCTAAGCTGTCTACTTGCCAGCTGCGAAGGTGAAACTCTCTAACCAGCTTACATGTACCCAGGCGCATGCATTCTAGTGGCTCATCTATCCCCAAAACTGATGTTTTGAGGGGTTAAGAGAAATGCTTTCTGAGTTGAAAGAACAGAGATTAGTTGTTGGTAAGGTTTTTTGGTTTTTTGGTACCGGGGATCAAACTCGGGACCTTGCACTCTCGAGGCAGGTGGTGGAACCACTGAGCTAAATCCCCAGATGTTGGTAAGGTTTTCACAGCATCACCACTAGTAGGCAAAGCAAGCATTATCCTTGCTTAACCAGATGGATGCTTTCCCAGAACACACTCGAATTTTTCCATTTTTCTTATTCTTTCTTGAGGTGGCAACACCATTATAAGAAACCTTTGCTCTGCTTTATATTGTTAAGGCAGGAAAATACTTCATTTGAACTGCCAGTCTCTCTTGGGCTCTTCGGTTCTTTCCTGAATGTCTAAGACCCCTCTATTCTTTTTAAAAAGAAAATTAAGCTAAATATCTTAAATTCTTAAATAAATTCTATAAAAGAAATAAACACTTTAGTACTTTACCAAGTACCCTTCTCCTAGACTGCCCCAAGATGTGTGCAGCCTAGCATATAAAGCACACTGTGCTTTATTTATGATACCAGTATAATAAAATATTAACTTTTCCTGAACTCCTCGGCATAAATAAGAGGATAGGTAAGTATCTGGCATACTTGCTGAAATCTAAATTTTTCATTTATATTTATGCACCAGGAGTATAAGTCAAAGCAAAGCCTACTTAAACAACAGTGTTTCCCCCATAAATAAGACCAAACCAGAAAGTAATCAGCCTTGAAAATTAGGGGTCAAAAATGCCAGCCCGATCAGCCTGTCCTGGCCTCACCTGCCTTACCGAGAGCCACCAAGCAAAAGAACAGTGTTGGCAGGTGAGGCCAGGATGGGCTGATCATTTCAAAGCTGATTATTTTCTGATTAGGTCTTATTTCTGCAAAAATGAGGAATTTATTTAACTTGACCCCACACCAGGTATGCAGGCCATGGAGGTTCTCCAATCTTCCCTGGTGAGAACCTGGGTAGCTTCCCATTGTTAATGGTGGTGTGGATGTATTAAACTGTAGCATAGTCAGTGTTCATTTGCCCCTTAAAGTAGCAAGCGTTCAGTAATTATTTATGATTCCCATGCCCACAGGCAGATGGTATAGATTTAAACAGAGGTCATTTCAGAGACTAAATCAACAGCAGTGTTAGTTGACTGGAATTCATTAGGGATAGACAGTGTTTGGCTGATTATGCAAAATTCCTAAGGTTTTTCCTATTTTTGTGTCAGGTTTCAGCTTTTCTGGGAAGAACTCTGTGTGCATTGATTATTTTTATTAATGATTATCAAGAGAATTTTGGTGTTGCAAACTTTGTACTCAAACCTAGTAGGCAAAGTCTTCCATAAATGTATTCTAAGCTCTTGGCAAACTTTCCTCGGGAGCAAATATTAACTCCAGATAGTGTTTATTAGCTTTTCTAAAATAATCACTGAATTAATGTCATGCAGTGGCTGGAAGTAAATGCGTACCTAGGCCAAAAATTCATCAAGTTGGAGCTTCTTAATAGAAGTCTTTTAGAAATAATTTATTTCTTGCACAGTTTACATTTTAAAGTAGCCCGTGATTTTCCTCCAATTTTGGTTTGCATTCAGAGAGTGACTTCAGGAAAAACACTTCATCTTCCCTATGCTGTTAACTCAGGGACAAGGAGAAGTTAATTCTGTTACATAACACAGATAAAGGGTGGAGCAGATACCATAATTAAACATTTTACCCCATCTCTCCAGAACCTGCCTGAAACTCTCAAATAGAGACTCTTGCAGTCTGAACGGTCAACGATGCCTTCGTATTTCTGAAGCAGTTTTACAACTTTCTGAAATATTAAGAATATCCTCATGCAAAACACCTGTTCTGTACTAGGCAATCCGGCGAACTGACTCAAGAAAGACAGAAATGCTGTCAAATTGCACAGAGCACACTTCCAAGTCATGTGGGCTTCTGGGGGGAATGAAAGGTCTGCCACCCTTCCCAGGGGGCAGCTGCCAGCGTGGAAAGGGACTGGCTTCTTGTGAACAACACAGGCCCTTGCAGAAGCGTGAGCGAGAGAACGAATATCCAGGCAGACAGTCACCAGATCAAACATAAAGACGGAGCCCTGACCCCTGGCCTGCACCCCCAAAAAGCCTTCTCTATAGCAAGCAGTGGAAGTCAAAGTTGAAGCCACTTCACTCCCCTGAGTGAACATCCAGACAGTAATCTCCAACGAGTGGCCCCAAATGGCTGTGACTTCGCTGAGTAACAGACAGCCTCTCTAATGTTAGTCCCTCCTCCTAACTTAGGACTGACTGAAGCAATTATGCTCCTCTGACCCTCCTGCAGGGTGCCAGGTTTCTAGCAGGCTGACCTCAGCTCCCCCAGGCCAGCGCCCTCCGTCCAGGACCCTCGAAGCCTCTTTGCCCACTACAAAGCCCTCCCGCACCCGCGCCTGACCTTCAGGCCCTCTCTCCTCTCCAGTGACGCTGCCAACTCCAGTGCCCTAGCCAGCAATTAACTCCATTTCACAGGTGGGTTTCGCTTTGAAATGCTTCCTCCTTCACGCCCCCTCAGAGCCCTCAGAAGAGATGCAGACCCAGTAGGTGGCCCTGGGGTCTGTGGAGCCCATAACTCTTCCAAGCTCTCAAATGTGAGCCGGAAGAAGGGAAGGGAGCTAATTTGTTTAGGTGGGGTTTTAAAGCTGGAAGGACTCCTAAGAATTACTAAAATCCTTTGGTTCATCAAAGCTGTTTGACTCTTCACTTCTTCAGAATAATTTGCCCACAGGGTACACATTATAAATAAGGTCCTTGTCACCCACTTAAATTGGTTGTCATTCTAATCGATTCCCTTTATGTTAGCCAGAACTCTGCAGACAAAGTGGAAGAAAAGTAGGCCAAGTTCATTGTGTGCCATTCATTTGATGTCAAGAAAATAAATCATCCCATAGCAGAACATATGCAAAGTTCACAGTTCATGCCTGGCACCTTGTACTTTTAACTGGGAATGTGCTAATGACAGGGCAAAGTGGGGGTGTCGGGATTTTAGAGCTACTTTCAAGCCCAGGGGAAGTTTTGGGTACCCCACAGGATACAGAGCTTCCAAGATGAGGACTGTGGGTCACCAGGCTGCAGATCTCAGCAGTGCTCAGATCCAGGAAAACGAAGCCCAGAGCCGTGATGAACTCCACCTCCTTGCGGTAGGTCCCTCCTCCACTGATGTGGCCTCTCATTGGAGGGACCATGACAAACTGCTCTCGTGAGCAGCAGCTGAACCTTTTGGGAGACCCTGGAAACCCCCAGCAGTGGAGCCTTGAGATCAGAACTGCAGGTGGACTCGCCAAACGCATGGGAAACACCCTCTTAAGAAATGGGGGCAGTGGGGAGGGGTGACTTGCAAAACAATGTCCCCTGCAAGCAGGCTCCAGTCTCGCTGGTTAATTCAGGCAGAAAGCAACCTCTCCTAAATACAAAGCAGGCTTCTAATAAATGCCGCGGTGAGGAAGGTTGGTGCCTGCCTGCTGCCCTCTGGACCCTGAACAGATTAGAGATGCCCGGCTTCTCCCCTTTCTCTGTCATAGTCTGGAGACAGCGTGTGTTGATGGACAGCTTAGCTGTGGCTACAGTGTCCATGCCCAGCACCCAATCGGGGAGTTGCCTGTCCCACCACAGCAGGCTTGAATTTGAACCAACCAGCAGAATTAAATTTGGACCAATCAGAGGATCACATTTGGACCAATCACAGACTCGCTGCTGCTATAGAAGCCCCAGGCCTCTGGACTCCTCTGGTAGCTAGCTATCCATCATCTGCAGTGTTCTGGTGTGCTGCAGCATGGGCCTTGTTCAAATCAAGCCTTGCTCTGGCGGTCTTGTAAACCTATTCAGAATGTGTTGTATGGACAGGGGTCTTTTTTAAAGGAGCTATAAACTCTGGGAGCCACTGTCCTTGCAGAGCTTTCCTGAAGAGCTCCAGACTCGAGCAGCCTGTGATGATTGGAGACGGAGACAGTGTCCACTCCCAGGTGCAGCAAAGAGGCCATTAGCAGTGGTGACAGCAGCCATGTCCAGCTGCTGTCTTTCAGCTCATCAGAGCTGCACCTGGTCATTTCCTGACTTCTATCAGAATTGAGCAAATGATGTTCTATTGATCGGCACCGACTGTGTTCCCACAGGGCTCCCATGGGGCACTCGGCACCGCACCCCTGTGCTCATGAAGTGTCCTTTCCGGAAGTTGGGACATGATGAAGAGGGAACTGAAGCCCTGTCCCTTGGGCTGCCAGCCCTGTCATCTCCATGTCGCCCTCACCTTGGCCCTGCCCCGTACATCCTCTTCCTTCCTGCTGGCTCGGACACCCTTGGGAGGTGCATGCTTCACCAGGCAGCACACAGTGACCTCCCCATGCCAGCTGAGAGGCATTTCCAGGTCTGGGCTCAGCTCCCAGGACTGTGACCAAGTTGCCTAACAGGGCTGGGGACAAAGTCCCTTGCACCAGGGTATGTTTCTTCTTCTCCACCTCGGCTTGCCCTGTGTTAAGAGGATAAGGAAGTGCAACACAGAAGGAATTAGTGAAGGCCTCTTCTGGAGAAAGCAGTGGTGATCCAGCTGGGCAGCTGCCGTGGGCATATGAGGGTGCTCACGTCACCCATCATTCCTTGACATGCCCAAAACACATCCATCTCCAAACCCTTTCTGTTTGGAAGAAGCAGTACTTGTGAGCCATACTTTGCACCCCAAATACCCGATGCAGAATGGACAGAAAAGAGATGGAAAAGCAGTGGATGCTGCAGGCAGCAGCTCCACCATCATTGAAAGATAAATCAGCTTGCAGGAGTTCAGCAAGAGACCAGCTTGGGCAGAGTCACATCAAGGAAAAGAAAGTCCAGCTGTAAATCCACAGCTCTGGACTCTGGCGCTCCCAGGGTTTTGTCTTGTCCTGCTGCCCACCCAGGGGACTGTCATGCAGCCTGTCCTTCCTAAATCCCACTCTTGTTTTTGTTTTCAGAACATGCATGCATGGAATGAGCTCACACCTGCCCCACTTTGGTCCCCCAGGGAAGCAGCAGAGAGCAGTGGTTGGCTTTGCAGCCACAGAGAAGACAAGAACTCAGCACATTTTCTCCTGAGGCCTTGGCTATAAGCAGGTTTTATAAGATTGGAACAAAGCCAATTTCCTGCCATGCTTGAGATTTACCTAGTTTCCTGCAGCAGAGAAGGCAAGAGGCCGTCGCTATACAGCCCTCCAGCCTTGCCTTCCTGAAGAGTCTCCTGAAGTCACTAAGTTCCCCAGGCTGGGCTTGAACTTGCAATCTTCCTGCCTCAGCTTCCCAGAGTCCTGGGATTAGAGGTGTGCACCACACATGGGGCTAAATGGATTCCATTTTCTCCGTGGGCTCCACACTTCTCTGTAGTCTCAGACACAGGAAGTGGGGCTGTTGTTTGTTTGCTGATCTATCTTCTTCCAATTCACTCAGCCTGTCCTCTTCCGGTGACCCTGGTCCCTGTGCTTCGCTATCTCAAGCTCACCCTGTGGTCACCAGGCATGACCTGTGAGTGGAGCCACCTGCCTGTGCTTGCCCAGGAGAGTTCATTTCCCACCCCAGTGCTCCTTGTCCTTGGTTTCCCCTTCCCAGCTGGCCCAGACCTTCTCCCCCTGCATTGGAAAATTTTAGAGGCGCAGCCAGCATCCTAGGAGAGGGATTTCCTGTTGTTTGTTTGTTTGTTTGTTTGTTTGTTTGTTTTGGTGCTGGGTATCAAATCCAGGGCCTTCACTCTGAGCTACGTTCCAGCCCCTTTTTGTTTTATGTTTGGAGACAGGGTCTCACTAAGTTTCTAAATTGCCCAGGATAGGCTCCAACTTGCAACCCTTTTGCCTCAGCCTCCAAGAGTGCAGAGATTATAGGGTTATACCACCACACCCAGTTTCTCTCTCCTTCTCTCCTTCTGTCCCTCTCCTCCTCTCCTTCTGTCCCTCTCCTCCTGCCTCTTTGCTGCTCTGTTTCCCAGTGGGCCTATGGAGGAGGGAGCAGGCTGTGACACCACTGTGTCCTCCAGGAAGCAGGAGACTGGGTTTCCAGACAGACTTCAGGCTCCACGAAGTCATGAGCCCCGAAGCCCTGGAAGGCAGGCCTGGAAGGCTGTATAGCAACGGCCTCTCACCTTCTCTGCTGCAGGAAACTAGGTAAATAAAAAGGACTGGAGGTGTAGCTCAGTGTGAAGTCCCTGGCTTCAATCTCTAGTACATCAAGAAAAAAGAAAAAAGGGAGTCAACCTTTGTCCCAGCCCTCTGATCTTCCCAACAGCTCTCTGGCCTAAGCTTTGCATACAAGAACAAGATTTATATATAAACCTGTTTAGCTTTTTTTAAACAAACTTGAAAACTGGTTAGCATCCCCCCAGTGTGGGTGGAAACAAATTCCAAAGGTGAAATCGATGACCTGTGGCTATGGAGTGACTCAAGGCTGCCTGTGTCACCTGAGCCGGGATGGGTCACAGCTATGTTTTGTCCACCTGGCCATTGTGGGAGGAACCTTTCCTTCCCTAGGGAATTCTTGCCTATTTACTAAGACCCCACTCAGAAGCATCCCCAGTGTTCCCCATGTGCCCAGCAGCAACCCTGGGAAGAGTCAGTCACAGCCACTGAGCCCAGGCAGACCCCTCCCCACAGCTGGGCTTCCAGGGCTCTGCTGTTCTGCATAATTCTCCCCACTGGCATTGTCCAGGGACAGCAGAGCCCTGTGTTTGTGCTCAGGCCTCAACACAAAGGGGGCTCCTGGAAGGCTTTGCCCAATCCCCCCTTCTCTGCAAAAGCGTTCCTCCACAGGACGTGGGACAACAAGACCATAACACGAAACAAAATATGGCTGCATCCAAAGACCCTGCAAGGCAGGCTAAGTGGGTTTTAGTTCTGTGAGCTGTTTCCCTCTTCTCATTTTCCCACCATCTCTCCCAGGAGTGCAAGGTTTGCTTTCTATTCTTAAATTCCTGCTTTGTCGAATCTGTGTGGATTCACTCCAGTGAACTGAATGCAATGAAAGAAAACAAGGTTCTTCTTGGATTCAGGGAAATGTGGTAATTTTTTATTGATAAAAAGAACGACATTGTTTGGCCATGTTGGAAGTGATTGCAAATGTTTTGCTCAGATTAGTTGTAAAGATTTCACCAACAACATCACCTACCAGGGACAAGATCTCTGTGTTAACTCTGAGTACCAGCAGCAGTGAGGAGTTGGAAAGGATGCAGATGAAACAAAGGGGCTACCGGAATGCCTCTTGGGCCCCAGACTTTCATGCCATTGTCTGGGGAGAAATGCACTCAGCTCGGCCCTGGCCTGGCCCCCAGACACGGCTTCCCTGGGAAGCTCTTCAGACCATGAGCTTGGAGAGACCCATGCCTGTGACTAATTGTTTATGGTTCTCATTGATTGTCAAGACTCCTGACAAAATTCTCAGAAATAGAAACTGCAGTTGCTGCATATGCAAGACTTTCTCAGAGTGTTTGAGAACACTCCCAATACAAGCCCCCTTTCCATCTGGCAAGAGAACCCTGCAGAGAGAAAGCTCAAAGTGTACATAGCAATAACCATTTCCTCCAGGATTAGACCCTACCTGATCATGGCCAGAAATAAATGCATCCCCGTGTATATGTGAGACAGCAGATAAGTGGGCCAACCAGGTATATCTGGTTTTCTGAAAGAGCACAACTTTCTAACATAGCTGCAGAAAGTAACAGTGTGACTGCCACTCCAAAACAGCTGAGACTATTAAAGCCAAATGGGCAGACTTCGCCTTACTGAGGGAAGAAAATGCAGCTAAGCTTTAAACCATTACCGTTTATCACATTAAAAGGCACATAGGTTGCAGTGGGAGTTATGTGTGTATGTGTTCAGGTAGGATCACCTCCGTCTGGTGCCTTGCAAAGTCTTTGCTCTATAAAAGTCCATCCTGAAGGCAAGATTGAAAACCACATGGAAACCTGTTTCCCCTCTTGAGAGTCAAATTCTCCATTCATCAAGGAAATCACTACTCTCTCCCATAAGCTGAAGTACAGAACTCTTCAGGGAGCTGTTCAGCTCACATGTTAAGACTCCCAGGTATTGGAGATTCACAGCAAAGCCCTAGTTTCAGTTACTAGGGTGGCTACAGTTTGGTAATTGGTGGCCATCAGGAAGAAGGAAACCGCATATATATATATATATATATATATATATATATATATGTGTGTGTGTGTGTGTGTGTGTGTGTGTGTGTGTGTGTGTGTACATGTGTTTGTGTGCATGCATACTCACCAAAAATCATACATAAACTCACAAATAATCTATTTTAATTACACCATTCTCTTTATGTGAATACTTTCATATAAAAAGAGAATATGGGAAGACCGCATGGTGCCCCTGGTCCTTATAAACCAGAATAGATATAGAGGCTAGGTAGGGTTAAGGTTAGGGGGTTAGGGTTAGGGAATTAGGGTTAGATGTTTAGGGTTAGGGTTAGGGAGCTAGGGTTATTGTTCAGGGCAAGTTAAGTCAATAAGTGACTTCAGTTGCTGCTCACTGGCAGTCAGCTAGGGCAGGGATCCCCAACACTCTGGCCACTGCCTCTAAGGCTCCATGTCCTGCCAGGAACCAAGGTGTGCAGTAGGAGATTAGTGGTGAGATAGTGAAGCTTCCCCTGTATTTATAGCCACTCCCCTTCAATTGGTGGCGGCACTGGACTCTCCTAGGAGCAGAGCCCTACTGTGAAGGAGGAGTTGCTCATGTGAAGGAGCTAGGCTGCTTGCCTCTTTGAATCATTCAGATCATCTCCCCAGTCTCTAGTCCATGGAAAATTATCTTCTACAAAATCATTCCCTGGTGCCAAAAAGGTCGAGGGCCTCTGAACTAGAACATTTCATTATTATTTGAGAATTTTGATATACGGGCCAGTGACTGAGCTTGCATAAAATGTGTGTTCAAACAGCATACTTGGAATTCTGTAAGAATGTTTGTGGATCTGCAGTTTTCCAAAAACCCTCAGTCCTACAAATCATGTCTTCCTCACACAGATTCCCACTAGAGTAGCTATAGATGGAAGGGTCAACTGGGTAACAGGTGCTCCCGGCTGAACCCCTGAATCCAAGGGAACCATTCACCACTTCTGGGGAGCCCCCTGCCTGCCGCCACGCAGAGCCCAGCTGCCATCCCTGCTGCAGCTATACTTATGTTTATTTACCTAGCAGGCTTTCCAACAACAGGTCTTTTGAGAAGAATTTATACTTTGACTGGGATGAATTTTGGAATCTGGGGCGAGGTGGTTTTGTGAGCATTTGAGCCAAAATCCCTATTACTGATGTCTTCTTGGGATTTCCTCTAAGTATTTTGGCTTTTGGCTTTCTTGAAATATCTCAGTTTTTCTAAAGTGGCCCTTTTAACTGTGATAGTCACAAGGGATAAAATTTTTAAAAACATCTTAAGCTTCGGGAAGGTCCTATCTGATGTTGAGAACTGTTAGCAAAAAACTGTTAGCAAATGCTGCTCTAAAATATTGTAGAGTCCACTGACTTCTTCAACACTCAGGTGGCAGAATTATTTATTGGCCTTTTGGGTCTCTTTTCCTATCTGCGTTTGCCAGAAATTTCCAGAATGCATCTTTTTTTAATTACCAAGTTTTATAATTTTTTCTCCAGACTTCTGTATATTCTAAATGGTCATACTGACCATTTATACATAGAAAATTACTCTATAGCTTACGAAATATATTCACAGATGTTAGGTATTATCTCATTTAAACTTCCATCTAAGGAAAAGAAATAGCAATTGTGTCTACCATTCCCCTTCCAAAATGTTCACCCTATGTATGAAAAAAGTAAATAAAGTTGCAAGAAAATTGCTGAAACAGATTTTAGACTTTCTTCCACTGCAAATTATCTTCACTAACAGGCTATCTTGGCTCTGCTCCAAACGGCCAGAGGCTGCTTTTGACAACTTGATGCTTCTAAGTGACGCTGCCAGAAAGGCCACGGGCATAATGGTCAGGTGGAACTCTGAGACCTCAGCCCACACGGGGCTTTTGTTGGATGTGAATTCCATTTGATGCTGGTTTTGTTTAATAACAATTTTTAAAGCAGGCTTCTGAAAAGGTCCAACCAGAAATGATGCGAACTGGGAATATCTCCTAGGTGCAAAGTCACCTGTCACATGACACCTGCCCTCCAGAGTGGCTCCCTTCAGTCGCTCAGCAGCACTTTCACTGGACGCTTCTGGGACGTGACACGGGATGGCTCCCTGGGCCCTGTCTCTCTGAGGCTCCTTCCAGCAAGCCCGAAGCTCCTCACCATCCAGTGCCTGTCACTTCTGCTGATCTGCTATTGCTTCTGGGCCAAGCTCATTCAGGCCCCAGTGTCACACATGAAGCCAGGCCTAGTGGTGCACACTTGCACTCCCAGTACCCTGGGAGGCTGAGGCAGGAGGATTCCAAGTTTTGGTTTCCCCACCACCAATACCCATTTCTAAGCTCTCAGCTTTGCTCTTAACTAAAGCCAAGACATTGCCCAGTCTCCTCCACCAAATGGGCCCCACTGCCTTGTTCATAAGATAAATGGGAAGACTAAATTATTTCCAACTTCCCACTGATTTTTAAAACCATGTAGTGAAATAAGAGGAGAGACTGTCCCTGTGCAATACAGCTGGTGAAAGGCAAAGCCCGGCAAGACCAGAGCGATGCTGTGTCCCAGGCACCATGGGGTCAGCTCTGCTGCCCACTCCCCAAAAAGACTCTTGCAGAATACTGAAGTCAAACTCATCAGAATGCTCACTCCTACAAGAGCTGAGCATGTTTAAGAAGGCATGAAGTCTGATCAAAAAGCTACTGTGATTGTACAATTATTTTTGAACAAATTTATTACAGTAAAAGACCCATTGCCATTCGTACTCCCCCTGAGTTTGAACACAGTTATGTCATTGTCCTTGCCACACTCTGAAGCAACTCTGGAGTCCTCCTTCCTGAGCATCTCTTTGTGGGTGCCTGGATGCTATAAATTGATTCAAAACCTTTACAGCAGGTTCTGTTAATTCAAAACATGACACTGTGTCCTCATCCACCTTAGGCACAAGGTTTGGCACCCTGCCACTTCTGGTTCTTCTATAAAGTCAAAGTGACCATGAAAGGTCGTGTGTCTTAGCAATGGATCTTTTACTATAGTATTTTTAAAATGTAAACATTCACCATAGATTTTGATCATGCAAGACTTTGACTGAAAGGGAACAGCACAGCATCAGCTGAAACCACCCAGCACCTCCTATTCAAAGGCTGAGGCTCAACCCAAGGGTCATGAGAGCTCAACATTCTGTGGAAGAACCGAATATTCATTTCATCTGAAAGACTTTATCGGTGTTATTTTGCAAGCATACATTCTTAATTTTTAAGGAAACAGCTGACTTAATCATCATGATGTGGAGAATACTGAAAATGTTGAATTTTGAGATTCTCTCTTTCTGTCTGCAGGTTGCTATGGAGCCTATGGCCCCCAAAGCTCAATGCCATCTTTATCTTTGACTTCTTGCAGGGTCTGTTATGGACATGCACCAAGCCTGACTCTCACAGAATAAGGTCCCAAGCTCTTGTTCATGCATTTTTAATCTTTGAAATGCTCCCAACATTTCAAAACAGCATAAAGAACGACCACCCCAGCGTGGCCTCCAGGGCTCCCTCCTCAGCCTCCCAGCCCTGGGCCCCTTCCTGTCCCTTCCTTTTTTGATACCAATGCCTGAATGTTCCTCCTCCTTCATTATCAGTTTTCTCCAGCTACACATTTCTTCCTCCTGGCCTGCAGAAGTGATGCTGCTGGCCCTCTAAGCTCACAGCAATCTTCGTTATCTCTTTCACCAATACCACATGATGCTGTGATATTCGGTCCATGTATGTCTCTTACTCAAAGCTCTGAGAGGGCAGGGACTGGGTCTGTTTTGCTCCACACTCCAGCCCAGGAATCAGCAGTCTGTGTCTGCAGCTAGATGCTGGATGTCTGTGTTTTCTCTGCTTGTTGATGAGCCCGCAGAAGCCCAGTTAGATCTATTATGCTTTGCTGCAGAGCAGATTCTCAGGATTGATAAATAGTTATGAACCCTCTGAACCCACTAGATTCCAGTGCAAAAGCATTTCTCCATTGGAACGAGCATCCCACACCATGAGCACAAGACCCAGCACAAGATGCATACCCGGAAACGTCTGAGTTAGCGAAATACAGGACTGTTGAGCCTGTGACAATCCTGTTCAGCCCTGGCTGGCCTTCATCTACCTTGGCCAGATCTGGCCTTTCAAGGGCTTCTCACTAAATAATTAATTGAAGCTCATTGGAGGCTTTGAGCTCAACAAACAGTCCAGCTTGGCTTGACTTATGCTCTTATCTGGTAAGAATTTCTTTTCCACAAATAGCTCAATTCCCAGGATGAACCCGAGGCACTGATGGAGAGGGGAAGGTGACATGTTCAAGGCCCTAGCCTGAGATAATGTGATTTCCCCATTTTAATATTGCCACCATTGTGCACAATTAAAAGGCTGGCTGTTCCACAGGAAATGGGAATTATTTGAGGCAAATGAAGATGCCCCCACACTGCCCTGCATCAACACCGCCTGACCTGGCACCTGTGTAAGTCGTGACTCCTGCCTCTAATTCTGTCCTGGGATTTCACTGGTGGAAGATCCCTTCGTATAAAATTCTTTATTTTTTAAACTGACACATAATATCCGTACACAGTTATGGGCACATGATCATTTGATATCTACATTCAGCATATGACAATCAGATCAGAGAAGCAGCACTTCCGTCTTCTCCGACATTTATCAGACGTTTATCATTTCTATGTTTGGGGAACTTGTGGACTCCTCCTTTTTAGCTATTTGGAAGTATATCACAAATCGTTGCAGACTGTAGGCTCCCTCCTGGATATAGAAGACAGGAACTATCTCCTCCTATCTGACTGTTTGGCTCCTATTATCTCAACTCTGCATCGCCTGTCCCCTCCACCCCCTTCCAGTCTCTGGTGAGACTCCTCCATGCCTTCTCTGACATGCGTAAGTTGGCATTTCTCAAAGTATAGGTTTGGGCTGCTTGCCCTCAAGGTGATCAGTGGAGAAAAGTTTCCTAGATCAAAATAATGTGGGGATCTAAGGGCTGCTCTGAACCTGACTGCAGCTCTTTGCTTCAGCTCTTCGCTCACC